AACCAGGACAGGAAGGAAACGTAGAAACTCTAAGACTAAATTGGTTAAGGGTAAACTGATAAATTATTTCAAGGTATTAATCAAAATTATAAGCTAAATTAAGAATCATAAGTATAATTCCCAACCAAGCACAGGTAGAGAACAATTACTGAGCCTTAAAGACCGCAGGATTCTTAGGACAAACTCAGTGATAATGGCTAGACAAGGAAAGATGAATGCAAAGTCATAGGACAAAGAGAAACACTAAAAGAAATATGAAATATTTTTAAAAGAGAGAAAATTTCATCCCAAATAATAATTTTGATGAATATAGAACAGTACCTTTATCCCTTAAAACTCAAAATGCTGTGCCATGTTTACAACTAGATAAAAGCCGAAAACAAACCACAAGAAAAAAATAAGCATTATGTTAACATTCTACAGCTCATATAGCATGTGTAAACTTTATGAATAATGGTTATAATAGTGTGTGACTTCTTTCCACCTCTACATTCATCATTTTATTGAAACTTTAAGAAAAAAGCATGTAAAAATAAAAAATTATCTGAAGAAGTTTCTCATACTGCTTTCTCCTATAAGCTTTTCAATTTCTTAATGTGTGTCCATTTTCTGCCTACAAAGCTTTCCTAGTTAAGGTTTTAGTAAGTGGGCACCTGAAAGACCCTTTAGAAAAACTGAACCCTGGAAAATAGTCAATCAATTCCAGTATCAAGCTAAAGCAAAGTCTAAAACAGACATGAAGCCCACAAACTTTGACATCATCTTCACCAATGCCAAAGAAACTAATACATGAAGCACTAAGAGAAAAGACAAAGACAAAATTAGGAGCAGCTGACTTTTTACCACACTATACTTGAAGAGGCAGAAGGGCGGGGTTAATTGCCTAAGCACCAGATCAACAGATAAACCCAGACAGTTAACAAAGATCTTATTACATTAGTTAAGTCTGAACAATGCTCTACTGCTCCAATGCAAGAGAAATGTTATACCTAGTCATAAACAATAACAATAATAATATCAATGATGTAATAATTAACATTTACTGAGCCTTCCTTTATGATCTATTTTAAATGGATAATCCCATTAAATATTATCATGTCGGTACTATCACTAGCCCCATATTACAAGATGTGAAAACCAAGGTGTAGAGAAATTCACTAAACCAAGATCATACAGCTAGCATGTGGTAGAGTCTAGAACACAGACAACTCTGACTCCAGAGTTCCCACGTAAGGCAAAACAAAAAATAAGTAAAAAAAAAACCTCCAGTAACATCTCTTGCTACACACATTATTGGTTTTCTTAAATATATGTTATCATGAAGATATCATTAGTCATTAAAAGATGAAAATATACAGTGTAATGGGTTTCTCAACCTCTTTTTGATCTCTAGACACAGGCAACATGTTATCCCTCATCACAACCCAGTGATGTAATTGAGGAGGAAATACCACCCAGCTAATCCTGATACAATCAGGGCCATCTGCCCCACCTTGAGAACCATAGTACATATACCTACATCTTTATTTGTAAGCAGTACTGCTTAGGGCTCCACGCAAATCTTGCTTGTGACTCCAAAAGATTTTTAAACAAAATGTGTATTCCAAGATTTTGCCACATTTCTTGCATGCAAAACTCATGGAAAAAAAATATATCATCACATACCTCAATATCGACTCATAATAAAGAAAATTGAATTAATAAAAAATAATAAAATGCTATTTTTCTCAGGTTTAATCTATTTCATTCAGCAGCAGTACTGATATTGTCTTGTATTCTACTACCTTGTAGAAATTTAAAGAAGGATTTTTTTTTTGAGGGCTGCTATAAAATTATCATTGACATTTTAATTAAAAAAAGAAATGTATGCAGAATAAACAGGACATTTCCTCTAACAGTCTGCAGTGGCTGCTCCAATGCTTCTTTGTACAGTCTTGGTAAATTATGCAGGCTCTCACTAGACAGAGCAGCTGTATTTCACTGTCTTCAGTAATGTAATCTATATTTATCATTATTTTAATTAAGCAGATTCTTAATTTGGTACTTTCATTGCAAAGGAAAAAAATACCTTATTCATTTTTTTTTTTGGTAGACAGCATCTTGTCAGTCTTGTAAACCAAAATTTAATATTAAACATGTTTCTTACTGCAACCGGTCATTATTTTAAAAAGAAATAACACATCTGGTTTATTAAGAGCTTGTTCATTTTCATTGTATCAGCTTATAACATTGGTTCCTTCTATATAATAAAAAAAAGATGCTTTCACAGTTCTCAATTTTAATCCAAGTGATATACTAAAAACAATATGTGGTTTATTATAATATTAAATTCAAGTTATTCAAAATCAATATGAGGCACAAATAAGAACTTTGCAAGCAAAACAATGCTTTACTGAATTGATAAGATTCATTTCAGAACTTCTTTGTGCAAGATTATTTTTATCATCAGGTCATTTGAAATGTATGAATCCTTAGCTGAATCCATCATTGTGTAATATGACAGCTTTTAATCATCTTGAAGACAAGTTCTGAATTTTTAAAATTCATTTCCCATTATTTGTAGTTACAACAATCTGACTTTTAAAGAATAAATTGATGAATTACACTGGAAGTGTGCTTGTTTTAAATGGTTCACAGAGAAACAACTACTGTGATATTACATTGTCACATTAAACCGCACGTTTTTATACAGATGGTAGCTCAAATATTACATATCAATAAGGGAAGGCCTGATGTTCAAAAAATTTGATTTCAGCAGAAACTAACTGAGCATCTTTTATGTTCCAGGTACAGATTAGGTGCTCTGAATCCAAACCAAAGTAGAACAAAGCCTTTGCACAAAACAAAAGGTGTGTGTGTGTGTGTGTGTGTGTGTGTGTGTGTGTGTGTGTACATACACACACATACATATATGGTACAGTATCAAATGGTTTTTAAACTCTGTTCCTTTGAAAGGGAGGAACTTTAGGTCCCCATTTCCACTTCTGCCAGAAAAGCTCCACTTTGATCTATTTTTACACATTAGTCTTTTTTGTAGCTGGTGGAGAAAGCAAAAGCACTTAGCTAGAAAATATGAATAAGGGCCCTAGACCACTCTAAAGAACACAGCTAAATGAAAAGTGTTCCCAGATACACTAAGGGAAAAAAATAAAAGACGCCTTTTTTGTTGTTTCATTTATTATCAGTTTTCACATGTTTCCAAATACTGGTTTGTGGGTAAATGTCCACTAAAATAGTTTATAAACATGGCCCATGTAGGAAGTTTGGGGATGAGGTCTGCAGGGAATTCAAAGTTAATGCACATCTCGCTTTGTCAGTCCACATAACCAAGGGATGCCAGGCCAGCCTTCAGGTTCACATAAATCATCAGAAGTTAGGAGACAGGAATTTTTTAAAAATCTGAAGTGCATTAAATGTGTTCTAGATTTATATTAAAACTTTCCCACAGAAAACAACACCATTTACCTTCACATTGTGATTTTTGGAATACAGTTACCATTTGAGCAGCTAGAATGACGCGGCCAATTAATACACATTATCTCTAAGGCCTCACAAAAACCTCAAAAGGTAAGCTATTTTTAGCTCCCATTTACAGATGAGAAAGCACACTCAAAGGTTAAGAAACGTGTTCAATATTACATGGTGAAGACATGGAGAAGCGAGGATCTGGGCCCACGCTCTTTACTAAAACACTTTTTAAAGCAAAATAAACTTAGTTCACAAGGTTTTTCTCTTCTAGCTACAGCTAAATCTGACGCCTGCTTTTATTATCACTAAGAACTTCACATAAAGTTGTGCTTTACAATGAAAAATTTAACCACCAGCATATACAAATCAAATAGGTAATCAAACAAACAAAAAAAAGGAAATCTAAAATTTAAATCAATGCTAATGAATGACAAATACTCTAGTCATTGTGTCACTCCCTTGGTTTGAATTTAAATAATGTCATGTATAAAGCCCGGGTTACACAATTCAGGAGCAAGTAAAAGTTAAGTTCTAGGCAGCCCACTCAAGCTCTAATTAAACAGAAGAAACGAGTACAAAGGAACTAAATTATTTTAAAAAAAATACTCCTATTGGAACTCAACTTCAAAAAGATATTTCATGAAGAGACAGTACAGCTTGTAAGATTCCTTCTATCTCAAATTACTCTGATGAATGTCTGATAAAACTTGAGATTTACCACCGGGTAACAACAAGAGGTAGCCAACAATTCTAAATGAAAAAGCAGAATGGTCTTTTGTTCCCTTTGTTTAAAGTAAAGCCGCTAGTGAAAAACAAGAATGTCTACTTAGGAAAAAGGAGTCTCTTGTCCGGGTAAAAATTAAATTTAAATATGCTGCTTCTTATCTGACTATTTAAAAAACGTCTACATTGATCTACTGTTCACTAAAAGACTATAGAGGGCACTGTTGTATCAGCTTTGAAGCTTTACAATAGAAGCCTGGAAAAACTGTCTGTAATATGGGATTTCTTTAAAGGGTCAAATGCATGGAAATCTACTAAGCCTAATATAAGGGAAAAAACCAAAATGTATGTTTTTCTAAAATAAGCTGGACTTCAATGGGGCAAAAAAAAAAAAACAACTTAACAAAAACAACTGTCAAATTGAGAACACTGCACAGCACACATTTTGCATTTCCCTTTGTAGTGCTTTCATGAGAAAGGTAACTAATCATAGCACCTCCTTATCCAATGGAAACAGCACCCCATTGGAGAATCCTCTTCACAATCAATAGCAAAATGAATGTGGCACCTCATGCAATCCTTCCATAATTCTATCAGCAAAAAGAATGCAGTCTGTTTGCATACTTTTGTCTAAAAGGCCAATTCCATTTGTCCCCTCTTTGGGTAAAATGACAGCTACTGATCAATCACTCTCACATGAAAGTAAACATACCGCAAACGAAACAAAACAAAACCAAAAAAAGGATCAAAACTGAAATCTTCACCTTTTTGAAACATAATTTTATTACACATAAAAACTCAAACTCAAAGCAAAATAGAAAACGCAAGTTTTCCCTCATAGGCATATATTTTATGCTATTGTTCAATAGTACTGGGATAGAAAATAAGTAAGTTACATACAACAATACTCACAAATCTTATCATTACATGTGGCTAGCATTCAATCAAGCTTCCATATATTTTCTATTCTCTCACATCACTCCTGTTACAATTCTTTGAAACTAAATTTAATTAAGTACAGTGACAGAGATTTTAATACATGTTTGCAATGGATTATAAGACCAGTATATAAAATACAATATAAAGCTTCCTATTAAACCACCACTTAATTTTTCAACTTATTTATTCACCAAAATTAAAAATTTCTGACACTACAAATAATACAAAAGTAAAAGGGAAATTAAATCATTTTACTTTAGCAATTTAAAAATAATGTCCTGAATTGCTGAACCTCTATAGAAATAACATTAGCTCTAAGAATTGCATCAGGACCAGGCAACTGAGAGATTCCATGTAAAATGAGAAGGGAGGATGGAGGATACTCCATTAATGCACAACAAATCACAACGCCACATCAAATGTTAAATAACTCAACATTCATACAGGTACCATCAGAAAACTAGGGCCTCTAATAAAGAATTCCAAATGCCCTAGGAAACAGTATACAGCTCGTTTTGTCACTCTCAAACTTCCAGAGAGATTAGCACCTTCTCTGAAATCAAAGTGCAGAACTGTGAAAGTGTTAAAAAAATTCTTCAATAATATGTCAACCTACTCATAAATCAAAAAGAGGGGAAGGGGCTTCAGATGGTATGTAGATTTCCTTTTATTACAAAAGCCCCAGTTTAACAAGTTATTTTCAGCCAATAAAAGTCAAAAGTAAAGCATTTTAAAGTGGCCAGCACTGACTCTAAGGCTTTAATTTATTAACTTCACCAAAATGCTACTTGAGTATCACTTCCTTAAATTATTAATTTATGAGTTTTGCTTAGTCTCCTCCTGAGGCAAGGCAGTGTGTAGGTATGTTGCATGCATGTAAATAAACAGAAAGCCTTTATAGGAGTTTAATAATATACTAAACATAATAAAACAACCCTTTTTAATGAACATCGAATGCACAATCCTATGAACCGAGTTTATAGAAATGCACTATATAAAGAAACTATAAGATCCTCTCAGAAGTAAATGCACAAATTCAGAAAAATTAAACATAAGCCTATCGCTTTTCACTGATCTGATAAAATGCTTACAACAGAATCAAAGTGCTGCTGTGACTATGAAGAGTATGTCACATGCAATTTCGAAGAAATCTATGAAGAGTATGTGAACGGTGAGAAAATTTATTTGCAATACTGCTTTTCATCTACCATAAGGGTGACTGCCCAAAACCCAAAAATCAGGTAATATCTTTTTACTATTCAGGATATTTAACTAGATATTTCAGTTTAACTACTATAGAAAGAAACATAGCGTATTAAAATCAATTTTCGTTAACTCTAATTTATGCAAAGCTTGATTGTGAGCAATAGCTGCTAAAAGGATGCAGCATTGTTGATTCATACACAAGCGTTTTACTTAACTACATTGGATAATAGCAGTGCTCCTAAAGGAGTATAAAAAGCAAAGTGATTACCAGTCATTACTGTTAATTAGTGCTCACATTACATTTCTTGGGATGAATCTCCTTTAAGCTGAATACACGGAAAGTTTATTTTTGAAGGGCTGCCAAACCTTGCCTAGGTACGGATTGGAATAAGCCGTCAACTACCAGTAAGCAGAATAAAAAGCAGGGACAGATCAGCATCCAATTAGCCCGTCGAAGTTTTTAAACAGGAAAAGGGCTGAGGGGAATGAGTAAAACTGGAAACTCATACTTCACATTCTGCAATCTCACTGATAAAAGGAGGAAATGTGTGTTTATCGAACTTGCTGTGAGTGCACAGTTCATTTGGAGTCCTGTAAACAATCGCCTGACTGCCCATTTCCAAATGCATGTGAAAATCCTGGAGACGCAGAGCATCATATTCAGCAAGCAAGGTCACTCCAGTGATGCCCTGGAAATGGGAAATTAGGAAAACGTGGCAATCAGAGGTTTCGGGCTGACCAGAAAAAGCCCTGAGGCTGGCTTACCATCTTTCACCACCAGTCAGGCTGTCTCTGCTTATTCAGTATTAACACAACAGGGCTGCCAGGGAATGAAAAGAGCTCCACACACCTAACTGGGACATTGGCTTTCTTGTTTAGAAAATGATAGGCATTTGTCACAGGGAAAAAAAAAAAAAAGGAAGAAGAAGAAAAATTCCAACACAACTTTCAAGAGTGAGCTCTGAAAGAAAAACAGGCTCCTGGGGAACCTTTAGAAAAGGACCTGGGGAATGGCGACATCCTGTTGATTATCAGGTTTCCTTTCCCCCTATACCACTCTGCATTTTAAAATGGAGGCCAAATCTTCACAAAGACATTTCAAAAGCAATGCATGCTTGTGATAAAAAACAAAAATAAATAAATAAATAAAATGTGCAAAAATTACACAAACACTTAATACGTTCCACATACAGACTTTATATCCTTCACACCTTTTTCTATGCATATATTTGTACAAATGCATTTACAAAAATGTAATTATACTATATAGCATTTTTGGTAATCTATTTCCTTCTCTTAATAATATATACAGATGTATTTCTGCAACTTCATTTTTGATGCTATACACTATACCATTGTATGGATACACCATAATTTGGTTTGCCAGTCATTTCTAAATCTTCAAGTACATCTTTAGTTTTTTTTTCTTAGAATAAATTCTCCAAAGTGGAGGGGCTTGGTAAAGAGATGGTGTATTTTTGTGTCTGATGAGTTCTGCCAAATTACCCATAGAAAGGCTGAATCAATTTATATGGCTGCTGGCAGCACATAAGGGTACCCATTTCTCTAAAACCAGTATCATTTCTAAATCCTGCCAAAGCGATAGCTGAAATTTTGAGTTAGTGAGGTTGAACATTTTTTGGCCGTTTGAATTTCTTTCTCTTTGAAATGCCTGTTCATATCCTCATCTTATTTCTTTATTTGGAAGCCAGCTTTTAAACATCCAAAGAAACCTAGCGATTCCTTATCAAATGCTTCCTTAGAGGATCACCACACAGGGATTATTTTAAAGAGGAGATAATGAGTGTATGGACATTGAAAGGTCCTAGTAAGACTGGTGACTTTGCATGAGACTCCTTTACAACATATTATATGATAAAAGAGGACTCTCAACCCACCCAAAAAGAAAAAGAAAAATTAAAAACTGAACTGGTGTTGCAAATATTATCTCATTAAAGCTACCTCTGCTTTCCATAAATGGAAAAATCTATTATACTAAGCTGGCATCATCTGCAATGCTTTGTGTTGTCCTTTTTTACTTTTTCACTTAACACAAGAAAATCAAATTGCCTTACTAGCTTTTGGTAAGTCAAGGAAGGAGACTGCAACTATGGATGATGGACAAGTTCCTCATGCTATTACTCTGGATCAAGGGCTTGATTAAAATGTGTCATTCTTGACAAAAGTACCAAGTATAAGAAAAAAATGAAAAATGACCCCCTCACTCCCAAAATCCATTCAATTCAGGATCTCTTCTCACAGCACCAAGAAATTGACTAAGTAGCTAAATATACTAATTCCTAATTCATCTTCAGAAACAGGTTTCAATTGGAATGTAATTTCAAGCTGCAGATCATGTCTTTCCTTTTTTAGACAAACAATAGCTTAAAAACTTGAAAAGCCATCACCTGGAACAGTACTTCTCAAACTACGTTAAGAACTACTTTTTAAAAAATTTCTAAACCTTTAAAGACTGAAACTTCTGTAAAATACAACTAAAATGAATGACAAAAATAAAATTAAATTTAAAAAAAGATATATAATACATGGCTAAATTTTTATTATTAACTTCAACACTTAAAACTACACTCAAATGACTATAAAAGTTTCTCATTGTTTATTTTCAATTTCTATAAGTAGCCGGCCCTGGACCAGTAACAAACGCTAGATGGACCAGCACCAGCCCCTAGACCACACTTTGAGAAGCAATAATCTAAAATCAACTGAGAGCTTTGAAATTCGATGAGGTCAAACACAGATAGATCACTTTGATCTTAATCACCCCTCTTACCCTTATCAAACCCCATGCCTGCCCCTCTCACCATTAAGTCATACATGTCTTATTGGTTTATATATGTACTATGTATGTATTGTTATATGGTAATGCCTGCCTGAATTAACATAAATGTAATGCTGGGAGGCACAGAACACAGTGATTAAAAATACATATTTTACCACTTTCTAGCTGTGTATCCTTGAACAAGTTACTTAACCTCTTTGTATCTCAGTTTAGTTATCTGCAAAATAGAGATAATCAACCTGGGTTGATGTAAGGATTAATTAGAATGCAATGTATACAGCTTAGAACAGTGCCTGGAAAGTAGTGCTACATAAACAATAGCAATTATTATTACAATAAGACAAAAATAATTGAAAAAAATCACATGGCTCTGGGCTTTCTAATAATCAATATAAAGAGGGAACTAAATGAGTTGTGTGATTTACAGTGTCCATTCAATAAAAACTGTCCAATATTTATAGAAGACAAACTGTTATAAAGACTAAGTCCTGAGGGAAATCCCACCTTTGGATCATCATAAAGTTGAATGTGCGATATGATAAAAATTCTCAACAGCTTTTCTAGGACATCATACAACAAATACACAACAAAAAATTCTGAGCACTTCTTATGGACAAGGCACCATGATAAACACTGCAGAGTATCCAAAGTTGAAAAACACATAGTCCTTGCTTTCAAGTGGTTATAAACTAACAGGGAAGATATATTATATATGCAAATAATTATTTTAAAATGCATAATGTAATAGCTACCCAAAAGAGTAGCCAGGCACAAGAGAAATTCAAAAAAACAAAGCTACACTTGAGAAAATCAGGAACAATGCCTTTTGCATCCCTATCTTCTCCTTAAACATAAAATTGAAAGGCCTATTCAGTACCAGTCAAAATACATCCAGGATCTGAGCCTATGGCCCCTTCTCTGGTCCCCGTCACTTCTTACTGAAATTTTGAGATGCCACTTTGCACTATATTATCTTTGAGATCTTAATATCCTTTTTGAGCTGCATGGCATCCTCATCTGCTCCCAGGTGCTACTTCTATGCTACTCTCCTCTTTACTCTTTAGAAACCAAAGAAGGCCCTCTGACCTCACAGCATACAGCACAGTATGTGTTAGGGCCTCAGAGGACAAACTGACTCGGGACTTGAGTAGTCATGAATATCCCCAGGCTACAAGGCTTCCTAGGAGCAACTGATGGTTAAAACACTAGCACTTAAATTTTTTAACAGAACAGGCCACTGTGAGATTCTGATACAAATTTGGCCCTCTCCCCAGAAAAATTTACATACACAAAAAATTTGAACAAAATTTCAGAGTTCAAAAACACCTCTCCCCTCTAGATTAAGATATACTGTCTGCAAGTATCACATTATCTGCACTAAAGTCCACTAGACTGATTCTTACTGGCTTTCTGTGATCAAGTCTGGGTTATACGACCACTCAAAATCAGTAGAACTTCCGTGAGGGTTATGGAAGTCACAAAAATGACTATGAGATTGATGTCATTAAAAAAGCTAAAATTGTGAAGGACTCCAAAGGGAAGACCACGGGTTTTATCAAATGATGGTGTTTCTCCCCACCTCCCCTCCCTGCAAAATTACCATGTAGAAAAGAATCCATAAGGGAACTGGTCTTAAAATGCACCATGCGCCATTTCAATGGCTCCAGAACCAATCCTATGTAGTAGGCAGCAACGAATTCTGCACAAGAGAAATAAATGTTTAATAAATAGTTGTTGCCTCTTCTGATTTGTTCATTTATTTTTATAGAACTCTACAAGGAACAATTTTAGCTGAATTTTGTCAAAGTTACATAGGCTTAACTTTGTTCAAGTTTAATATAACAACAACTCATTAAGCACCCACTGTGCTCAAGTACACAGGTGTCCACAAGGCCCAGCACTGTAGATTCTATGAATAAGTGTGGAATAATTCTGCTGGCACTGAGAGGCAATTGTTCTTACATAACAAGCCCCATTCTACTGCCTCTGGACATTCAAAGAGCCACTTTTCAAACCTCTTAATTTTTCATATACTCTTTCTAACATCTAAATTCTCTATACTCAGTTCATGCAACTTTGAATGGAAGTCCTTGCTTGAGGCTTTTTACAAATGAGTTAATACAAAATACACTGACTTTAAGGATAAGCACAGAGTTAAATCCTAAAAGAACATGCCAAAATAATTTTTAATGGAAAGAAAGCATCTATTAATAAAATCCTTTATCAACGTTGAGTTCACCTCTTTATGTTCCTTTGAAACAACCCATGCTGCAGTTTACCCACGTAGGGAACTAGATAGAAAACATTAATTCCACATCTCTTGGAAGGCTGAAAGAGTCTAAAAAAGACCTGGGAAGGCCAAAAATTATAAGCAACAAATGTCAAAGGATAAATTCAATCCAATATATAATATATATTTGCCCCCATTAAAACCTCTTTCACGATTTGAATTATTATTATTCTTTTTCTTCTCTGCATTAACATACTAATAAAGTCAAGAGGAATTACAGTCCTCTCAATCTCAAATTGCAGCTACTATTTAAAAATAACACACTAGTGGAACTTTGTATGCAATGAAGAAAGCTGACTTTCTTCAGCTTTACCGGATTATTGTGGAAGCAAGGGACTAGCGGAGAAAGAAAACCTGAGACTGACATGAGTTAGGCAGGCTAGGGAAAAAGGAAAAATCTCATTTATACAGCATCTTCTTTGTAGAAACCTAAAAAGGCTCTCATCTTTTCTTTCATTTATTCTCAAAACAGATAAATAAGACAACAAGGAAAATACATTCACATTCTACAGATGGAATAACTGAATTCCAGGGCAGTGTTTTTGAACGCAATGCCTGCATAGTCCAAGAGTTGTATGGAGTACCATAAGAAATAAAAA